TAAAATTCGATTAATTGAGCAGCCCTATTTGGATGTAGCTTATTTGCTCGTTTGTGCATCGCTTTGTACCTGATAGTTAGTCAATAATCGGCATTAAAAGCTCCAGTTGCCTAGGTAACGCTCCAAATTATTTACCACCCTCGCATATGTTAGTTAATGGTATCATTCACTCTCACTGGGAGGCACTTGGATCGATTACTTCAAAATGCTGAAGGTTTGACTTGCGGCCCATCCAGTTTACATCACCAGCAATTCTTTCACCGACCACTGCTTACAGTTTCACGTTCAGTGGTCTCTGGTTGCACCGTTGCTGTTGTGCATGCCCCTTCATTGTGACTTCCCTGTGAGATGATGTTCGGTGAAGTAAACCGTAACACTTGCAGATTGTGTAGATAAAGATCTGCGTGATAGATGTGCTGCCACTCTGTAATACCACTTTTGTAATTTCAGAAGTCTCTGGCCTGTCAATGCACATCACTGAGCAGATATGTTTATTTTGCTGTCTCAAGTCTCAGCTTGTCAGAAGTAGCCCCTTCCTTCCCCGGGTCGCCTCCACGCTGAGGCAGAAGATGGCTTCCTTCCAGAGCCTGATGGATGTGGAGGAGAATGATGCCTGTGATCCGGTGCCAGCGCAGGACAGCAACACTGGAGGATGCATCAAGACAAGAGATTATCTGTCTGGTGAGGCTGCCTCATTGCCACAGGATTAATAGTTTCATTTTTCATTGAGGATCCATGCCAGAAGGATTTCTTTATGATGTCTAGAGGCATCATTCATAAAGCAGTGGATTAATGCGCTGCACCGTATAAGCCTGACTGTGACAACATCTTACAGCAGGGATCTCCTCTGAGCTTGGTCATCTTCTTAAATGGGCCCAGTTTCTAAGCTGTTTGTTAGTGAAGTGAGACTTTATCTCTATTCCTCTGATCAAAGGTGTTTTTTTTCCCTTTTTTGTACCCCAAGCTGTGTTTTTATCATATATTATTTGAAATTGGATATTTTCTTTTTATTTAATTTAGATGCTCCCAAGTCCCATTTGTTTTTTTTATGTTTATGTAATATGCCTTTTTGATTGATGTTTTTTTTCACTCTCAGATGGGAACAGCCATGGTGGAGGGAAGGAGAACAACCCTCCAATGACGCCTACACCCAGCAAGAGGAGGCGCACCAGCAGCCCCCCCGAAAGCTGCAGTGTGGAGATTAGAGAGGCCAGCACGCCTACCCTCTCCTCCACTTTGATGGAGCAGGAGGTACACCGACTCACTCTGACTCACTCACTTAACTGACTGCTGTAAATAATTTAGCTAAAAGGTTTTTACCTCTGTGTGCCTGGCTCCCATTGAAGCCGTCGATTATTTTTAACGCCTTTATGAACGGTAGATCTCAGGGCCAAACAGGATTTTTTTTTTTCCTTTTTTTGACTACAAGCTTCCAAAAAGAGAAATAAACCAAAGAGCACTTTGATGCAAAATATGTTTGAGAAAACACTGCCAGTTAATCTTTTTTTCTTTCTACACTAGACAAAATACTTTACAACTCCACAACTTTATTAGTGCAAAAAAACCCAAAACATCAATGTATTTTCACTTAAACAAGCAGCTGTTTTTTATGTGCATTAAAGTTATATAAAAATGTAACAGTGCAAATTCGTTGCTGACAGTTTAACCAAAAGGCATTTCCAGTGGAAACTGGCCGACATATCCTCAGAATAACCATGTATAATATCCACAAAACTTAAAAAGAGGTTATACACACACAATACGGTAACATTATGTTGAAGCACAGTACGTATCACTCCGTGAGGCTCCTGACTACGATAGCCGTAATGCTCCAACAATCCATCAAGTGGTGCGGCTTCGTAGCTTAGCAAAGTCGTACTAAAACATTTGATAGATTTTCGAGCGCCGTGTACGACGTAAAATCGTTTCGAGGTCAGTAAACACAACCAGAATTCATACATAAGGCACACGGGATTATAAGGGGCACTGTCGATTTTCAGAAAAATCAAAGGATTGATTTTAAGTGTGCCGTATTTTCCAAAAAACACGGCAATAACAACGGCCCGCTAGCATGCTCTACCAAAAATAGTGCTTTGTTGTGTATCTGACGGAAAGCTAAACCAGTTCCACCACTGAAGTTGCAGCATTTTTACAAACCAATTCTGGTTCATCCGTTTCATTCAACGAGCTGCTTTTGCCCTTCTCATTCTCTGCTATGCTTTTCCCGCCATGTGCGTATGAAAACAAAGGCACTGCGCACTTACCCATATTCTATCGCGATATTTCATTTTCTTATTGTTGCCCAACATTATACCAGTATTACCGTGAACGGTATGATATGGTCCAGCCCTAGCTGCAGCCACACAGATGACTGTACCACAAAACAAGATTAATGGGTTAGCGAGATATGTCAAGCTTAAAGTTAGTTTTCAGTGTCACCAAGACACAGACTTGGTTGTGATACCCTTGATTTCCCACTGGGATTTTAGGTTTTGTAGAGCCAGCTAAAACAAGGAAAGTCTGAATATATCAAAGTTGCTTTATAGCACACCCCTCTGGTGATAACTGGGCAGATGAACTCGGTATACACTGGTCCATCTAACAGCCCAGCACTGTGCAGCTCATTTGGCTTTCTGAAGAAAACTGCACAACTAGCAGGCCTGCTATCAGTGGCTCGTTCTATTAACAGATGAAAGCAGGTTCTTAATGAGGTCAGGTGACAAGGTATGAAAGAGTCTGGAGGTACTGTGGTGAACATTACACTGACTACAACATCATCCAGCATGTACAGTTTGGCAGTGGGCCAGTGATGGTCTGTAACTGTTTAGAATGAAAGTTAAATCCTCAGGCTTTGAGTCAGTCGCTACAGAACTCCAAACTTCATGTGGGAGGCCTTCAGATTGGCTCAAGAACAGTTCATAGAGAGCTTCATGGAATAAGTTTCCATGTCTGCATTGACCCAAGTGTAAAGTTTCGACGGAGGGGTGGATTATCATGTGGGGCTGTTTTTCAGGAGCTGAGCTCGGCAGCTTACTTCTAGTTAAACTCTTAATGCTTCAGTATACCAAGACATTTTGGACGATTTCCTGCTGTGTGAACAGTTTGGGCGAGTCCTGTCCTTGTTCCAACTTGACTGTGCACCAGCACAAAAAGACACAACATGGATAAGTGAGTTTGGTGTGGAAGAACTTGGCTGGCCTGCACAGAACCTAACCTTAACCCGACAGAACACCTTGGGGTGAATTAGAGCCGAGACTGTGAGCCAGACCTTCAGTGTTTGACGTGCTTCTGGACGAATGGTCAAAATTCCCATAAACACACTCATAAACCTTGTGAAACGCCTTCCCAGAAGAGTCGAAGCTGTTATAGCTGCAAAAGGTTGACCAACATCAAATTAAGTCGTATGGATTAGGAATGGGATGTTACTGAAGTTAATATGCATATCAAGGCAGACTAGTGAATGCTTTTGGCAATACAGTATGTGTCAGTATTTCAGCTTAAATATTTTTGATCTGATGTGTTGATGGTTGTTGTCAAACTAGGAAACAGAAAATAAGCCCAGTTTTTAGAAATGTTACTATTCTGTTGTCCGGAGTCCTTTTCACACTCGTGTCCTCTTGTTTGTGCTTTCATATAAGTTAGAACATTCTCGGTTATGCCTTCTGATCTTTTCCAAGTGATTTTTGGGGCTATTCATGATAACTGAGCAATTCCTGCTCTCATTAGAAGTGTCTGCAAAAAAAGATATTTAAAGGATGCCTGCTATGAACTGATTAGATGAAATGATTATGGTTGTTCTGTGCTCCAGTGTCCTTCTGGATTTTATGTACAAAAAATTATGCTAGTCTTGGCTAAAATGCAAATATCTGTTCTCTATGTTCTGTCCTTGTCCTTGAACTACAGAATGAAAGCTCTCATGTGTGCTCTCTTAATAGGATAAGGTCTTTGAACTCCAAAGCCTCAGCCGACCACCTCCTGATGATCCTGCAGCCGTTTCGCCACCGCAGCGTTCCTCCCCCTTCCGCATCCCCTCACTCCCTTTGTTGCTGGAGATGAAGCCCACAGGTGAGCACATGTCGCTCTCTGTGGCCTTGTTAGAATAACTGACCTTTTATCTTTGTTTAGCCTTTGAGGCTCGGTGCACAGTGGCTTGCTCCAGTGTAGCCAAAGGTTCCGCTCGGCTGAATTGCTGCATATTCA